CCATTCATCCATCGATGGACATTTGGGCTCTTTCCAGACTTTGGCTCTTGTCGATAGTGCTGCTATAAACATGAGGGTGCGTGTGTCCCTTTGAAACAGCACCCCTGTGCCCTTGGATAAATGCCTAGTAGTGCAATTGCTGGGTCGTAGGGTAGTTCTATCTTTAGTTTTTTGACGAACCTCCATCCTGTTTTCCAGAGTGGCTGCACCAGCTTGCACTCCTACCGACAGGGCAAAAGAGATCCTCTTTCTCCGCATCCTCGCCAACATCTGTGGTTGCCTGAGTTGTTGACTTTTAGCCATTTTGACAGGTGTGAGGTGGTATCTCATTGTGGTTGTGATTTGTATTTCCCTGATGAGGAGTGACGTTGAGCATTTTTCCTGTGTCGGGGGGCCATCAGGATGTCTTCTTTGGAGAAGTGTCTATTCATGTCTTTTGCCCATTTCTTCACTGGATTATTTGTTTTTTGCGTGTTGAGTTTGATAAGTTCTTTATAGATTTTGGATACTCACCCTTTATCTGATATGTCGTTTGCAAATATCTTCTCCCATTCTGTCGGTTGCCTTTTAGTGAAGCATCTGACTCTTGATTTCAGCTCAGGCCATGATGAATCTCATGGTTTATGAGACCCAGTCCCATGTTGGACTCTATGCTGAAACAAATATGCATAAAAAAAAAAAAAGGGAGAGAACAGAACAAGGACAAAACTTGCTAGAGAAGTAACAGTCATTCTTTTTAGCCAAGGGAGGGAATATTACCTGGAGGGAGTGCCAGGCTAGCCAGCCAATGTCAGGGCCTCTTGTGGTTTTCTTTCTCAGTCCCTTATCACAATCATATAATAAATAGAAGGGGGAAAATGCCCATAGGTATATATGTATTTTTTAAGTTTATTTTGAGAGAGAAAGCACTAATGGCAGAGGGGCAGAGAGGAGGGATCAAGAAAGAGAATCCTAAGCGGGCTCCACACTGTCAGTGCGGAGCCTGACGCGGGGCTCGAACTCATGAACCATGATCATGACCTGAGCCGAGATCAAGAGTCAGATGCGTAACTGACTGAGCCATGCAGGTGCCTCCCGGCCTTTCCTTCCTGAGCCAAAGTCAGCTGCTCAACCAGCTGACTGAGCCACCCAGGTGCCCCCAAAATGCCCATATATATTAAGACTCCCTTTCTTATTAAGATTAATTATAACTACCTTTTTTCACCTTTATAGCTACCTTTTTTTTGTATATTTTGTCTCATTTGCCCTCATTTGAATATTATTAGGAACTCATGGCTTTTCACTGACTCAGCCTGGCCCAATTAAACATGATCATAATGATCATTATCTATTATTATTATGTAATTTGTTGGGACTTCCCAATGGTGCCCTGTTGAGCACGGCTCTGAACCTCCCTGAAATCATCCTTGCCCCCTGGAGTGTGGACATTGCAGACCCGTGGAATCCAGGAATTCAGTTTCCCCCCCAAAGAGTCTTGCTACCTTTGAGTAAGAAACACCCACGGGTGCCTATGTGAGTGGGTGACATATTGCTAGGAAATATATCTGTTGAAGGTTAGAGTTCACTCTATTCTAGTTTAACTCATGTTATCATCCCACTTTTTTTTTTAACGTTTTATTTATTTTTGAAAGAGAGAGAGATAAAGAGAGAGCACATGCATGTGAGCGGGGGAGGGGCAGAGAGAGAGGGAGACACAGAATCCGAAGCAAGGCTCCAGGCTCAGAGCCGTCAGCACAGAGCCCGATGCGGGGCTCGAACCCACAGACCGCGAGGTCATGACCTGAGCCAAAGTCGGACGCTCAACCGACTGAGCCACCCAGGAGCCCCAAACCTTAAAACAAAATAAGATGGCAACCCCAAGAGCACCCCCTCATGGAGTGTGTGTGACTAATCAGTGAGGGAACCATAAGGAGCCCTGCCCCTCCTAGATACTTGATCCACATTAGCTATCGTCAGTTAATCAACACAGATGTGCCTGACCTCGAGTAGCTTCTAGAACATTCCGTCCCATCTTTTCTTCTGTGTTTGGTTTTATTGCCTCTCTAGCTTCTCAGATGGCAGTCTCCCTCTCTGATTATCTTCTCCTTGTGCCCCAACAGGACAGCAGGACTGTGACCTGGCTTGGGAACAAGCTGGAGTGAGGTGAGTAACCTTCCTTAAATAGCAGCCAGTAGAGGCCAGGAGACAGACGGACATATCAGGTTAAGTCCCTTTTGGCATTTGTGACCTTCCCAGAGGGAACCACCAGGGACCTGGCCCCTTGCTGCTCCCTGTGGTCACCGCTGGCTCACACTTGACCGCACAATTTGTTCTCCCTTTCTCAAGGGTGAAGCGACACCTCCTTCCGACCGGGACGCAGACGCAAGCTGGGGGGAAAAGTCTGAGATCCCACTGCTGGCACCATACCCAAGAAGCCTGTGGGCTCTACCCAGGTAGTCACCTTCCAGATGATTCCCGGAATTGGGGGAGTGCCTCCAGCTGAGTTAACCCACAGCGGAATCAGTCCCTTGATGATGAGGGACTGATGAGTGTCCTGGGCCCTTCAAGAGGGACCAAGGGGGAGCCCCCACCCTTGGTCTGGGAGTCCATAGGGGCCCCTCCCTCCTGTCCTCTTCTCAGGGTCATGGCAAAGGTGCTCACTTCCTCCCTCCCCCTGCCGCCCATCCAATGACCCAGAAGTGAGGCCGGGACAGCCCACAGGAGGTGGGGGACAGCAGGGGGGAAGGAGAGAAGGAAGGAGTCCTGAACTAGTCACCTTGGAGGCTTCTCCTGCCCTCTTGACCTGTCCAGCCCGGCTGGGGACGACTGTGGGGCTTTACCAAGCCATTCCCTCCAGCTCTCGCCCTGCGGCCGGCCTGACTGCTGGTCCGCGAGGGACGGTGGGCCACTGAACTGGACCCCAGGGTGGCCTTGGCCACCTCCCACCCGTGTGACCCGGGGTGCCTTGCCTAACCTCACCTGTAAAATGAGAATATTCCCTTATGTTGTTGTAACGATCAAATATAATGTGTGTATGTGGTCTGGGCCGGGACCTGCCACACAGTGTGCTGGCCCTGAGTCTCGTTGCTGTGCCTTCTACACGGACCCTGTCAGCTCCAGGTGGAAACCTCCCCTCCCCCAGCACCCCCCGGCTGCCACCTGCCCGTGTCTCAGGAATAAGCCCCCGACATATCAGATGTGAAAGCTGAGGCGAGGCCTGAGGGTATTCACCTCAATAGCCCTGCCTAGGCCGGCTTGCAGTGAATACACAGATTTAGTGTTGTGGGTTCCCTCCAGCTAAGCCCCGGTTTCCTCTCTCCCTTAGCGAAGCAGAAAGAAGAAAAAACAAAACAACTCTTCACTTTTATCTTTTCTTTCCCCATCCACAGAGCGATATGGAGGATATCATTGAGTATTTCCAGGACTCAGTGAGCTGGGATGACCTACATCTCCTGCTGACTGACCATGAAGCCTGGGAGAGCTTCATGGCTGAGGCCAACTTGTCCAGGTAACCCCCCGGGGATGCCCCAAGGTGGTCCCCAGATCTCCGCGTGGCAGTATCCTCGAGCTGGGGTTGAGTGTGCTCCTTCTCAACAATCTGTGAGGAATATGTCTCCCATGGCATTTGCTAGCAGGGAATGGCCTCGGGTTAAGAAGAGATGAGACCTGCAGAGGGCAAGTTAGGTGACCTTGGGCCTGAACCTAAAGCAGACCTATCTCTGCCTTGGTTTCTTCATCTGTTCAATTTTATTGGGGAGAAACCAAGATAATGTACGTGAAGGGCTTGGCATTGTCACCGACACATAGTAGGTGCTCAATCAATGTTAACTTTTTATTTTTTTTAAGCTTGTTTATTTTGAGAGAGAGACAGAGACAGCACAACTGGGGAAGGGGCAGAGAAAAAGAGGGAGAGAGAGAGAGAGAGAGGGAGAATCCCAAGCAGGCTCCACATTGTCAGCCCAGAGCCCGACTCAGGGCTCGAACTCATGAACCATGAAATCATGACCTGAGCCGAAATCAAGAGTTGGACGCTCAACCGACTGAGCCACCCAGGGGCCTCAATGTTAACTTTTTAGAAGATTGCCACGAAGAGACAGGGGCCAAGGGTCTTCTTCCTGGAGATGAGGGACTAGTCCGAAGAACGCTGACGTACCAGTCTGTGCCCCTGGGCATTTGGACTAAAGCCTTCCCTCCCCATCTAAGGAGTTGTATGAATACTGCAGGATCCTGCTGGCCCACGAGGTGGAGAGACTGGAGTGGAGTTGGACCAAGCTGTGTTGGATCCAGACTCTATCTCTGTCCAGCCCTGTGTTTCTGGGTGTGTAGTCTATTAGTCATTTGTTCAATGTAAACAGTAACTCATCCTGATAAGATTATGGCGAAGGCCTTAGCATGAACTGCAAGGTCAAAGGTGGGGGCCCAAGGGCAATCGTCTTGTCCAAAGGCTGGGATGGACAAGAGGAAGTCTAGGTTGGAGGACTAGGTAAACTTGGGCAGCAAGGCTAGGACTGAGTGAAGCTCTCGGCACAAAACTCGAGGTCCTGGGAGAGGGAGAGGGGACATTTGTTCCCTTCCTTCTTTAATCTCCTCACCACTAGGCATGCAGGGCCATGGCGGGGAGGGGTGTTGTCTCCTCCATACTTTGCCTGGGAGCTGGGGGGGTCTTGACCACCATTTGGAAGCCTCTCCTCTTCTTACAAATTTTTTTTAATGTTTACTTTTGAGAGACAGAGTGACAGCATGAGCAGGGGAGGGGCAGAGAGAGAGGGGGACACAGAATCCGAAGCAAGCTCCAGGCTCCGAGCTGTCAGCACAGAGCCCGACGTGGCGCTTGAACTCACAAACCGCGAGATCATGACCTGAGCCGAAGTCGGATGCTTGCCCGACTCAGCCACCCAGGCGCCCCATCCTCTTCTACGTAGAGCGGCCCCAGACCAGTGGGAGCCAACGTGGCTCTGCGACAACTAGTGGCATCACAGGGGGCAGCTGCTAATTCTGTACTCAATTCTGGGGAGACGCACAAGTCCCCACCAGAGGGGAAAGTACTTCCTCCACCAGCTTGTCCAAATGTGGTCTTTTCAGGCTTAGGGTTTCATACAGGTGGCTCTTCAAGTCTCTCATATCTTTAAGCAATTTCATAAAAGTTGCACATGGCGTTGATGTGCATGCCTATGAAGCTGTCACCAGCTAAGGTGTGAGTTAGGCTGATGACACCTGAGAGGTTGGGGGTGCTGGGTGGTGGGTCGGGAGTCAACGATGTGAACTGGAAGAGTCTGGGGGGAACCAGGGTAACGGACGTCCTGCTTCTCAGTCAGTTGGGGCAGTCACTGGGCCGTGGTCCTCAAACCGCCGTGAGGTTGGATGATTCCCTGCAAGTGTTCACAGAGCGCACTGAGAGCTGTCACACTCAGTCACGCTGTCTTCCAGGCAAGGGTGCAGGTGGCCACGGGGAGAGACGCATGGGGAAGGGTCTGGGAGGGTTTCAAATGCGAAGCTTCCGTCGTCCTCCTCCGGACGCGTGACCATCCTGCGTTCAATCTGTGACAGTGCAAATGGAGCATGGCCCACCAGGGAAGCTCACACTGTGAGAGAAAACACTTTGACGTTGATTAAAAAGACGACTTAATTCAGGGCTGTGGCCATAGAACGGAGATCAGGCTCTGCTCCGGATACAGAGCTGGGGATTTATAGCCGAGGAGCGGGGCGGGGGCGGCGGATGAGAAATCACTGAGAGAAGAAGGTGGACGACGCTTGCTAAATGGACCCAGCAGGGTTCTTGCTGAAGGTAGGTCAAGAGCTTCCACATCAGGGACGCCCGGGTGGCTCAGTCGGGAAAGCGTCCGACTCTTGATTTCAGCTCAGGTCATGATCTCACGGTTCGCGAGATCGAGCCCCGTGCCGGGCTCTGCACTGACAGTGAGGCGCCCGCTTGAGATTCTCTCTCTTCCTCTCTCTCTTGCCCTCCTCTGCTCGTGCTCTCTCTCACACTCAAAGTAAATAAAAAAAAAAAAAAAGAGCTTCCACATCGAAGGTGGGATTCGATCAGATATCAAAGGTGATCCGTTATCAAGAGTGGGAAGATTCTCATTAAACTGACCTAACAGGGTTCTTGCGAAGCCTGGGCACTATAGGCTGTCACGGACAGGACACAAAAGGCCAAGGTCGACAGGCTACATAGGCACTGCACCTAGTCAAAAAGAGGGCCTAGAAGATCAAGGAGAGAGTCTTTTAGAGTTTTATGGGGGCCCAATGACATTCGCTGCATGGCTGACCTGTCATCTCCAGCCCCTCCTTGAGGTCACACCCATGCCTTTAGTTTCTAGTGCCTCCGTAGGTCAGAACCGATAGCACATGACCCAAAGCCCCCATCATACATCGCGATGTCAGGCCAAAGGCCCAGGCAAAGGAAGACAGTCCTATCCTTCTAGGACCCTTACCATTCCAGGCAGGGGCCTAGAGGTCACTTCCCAGTAGCCAAGGGCAGAGGGCAGACCTCTCTGTGGGTAAGGTTCATCCTTCCGTACACACTAAGCTTCTCCGAACGAAGGTTTTTCTGCTCCAATGCCACTTCCCTTTGTTCATCTACAAACACTGTGGCGCTGAGAGTGTTGACCTGCCCTTGAGCGAGAAGCCATCTTTCCCGAATACCTACCAGTTGGGGCGCCCGGGTGGCTCCGTCGGTTGAGCGTCTGACTCTTGATTTGGGCTCAGGTCGTGATCTCAACGGCCCAGACCCTCCTTGGGATTCTTTCTTTCCCTCTCCCTCTGCTCCTCCTTCCCCCCACCCACCCCTCGAAGTAAATAAATAAATACCCTTAAAAACATGCCTCCCACTTAGAGCATCTGAAGAGGAGCACGTATTCATTCCCTGGCTGAGTATGTGTTACGGAGCACGAGCAAGGTACAGAACGTGTGTCACATGGCAAGAAACAGTCTTCGCATCTGTCAAACTCTTGTCCATTTGATTTGTAGTGCACGTTCTGCGGTCGATGCGGGAAAGATCGAATCAAGCCCACTTGACAGCTAAGCTTTTCCTAATCGCTTGACCTTCACCTTTCCAGGGAGGAGGCAGATGTGCTACACGCAGGTCTGTGTGAGCTGGAGGCAGACCTGTGTATGGAGGGCAGAGAGAGGATCCAAAGAGACCACCTGGAGGAGAGGTTTTTGAACAAGTATCCCCGGTTGAAACGGGAGCTTAAGGGGCAAATACGAAAGCTCCACAAGCTGGCGGACAAGGTTGACGAGGTACACAGGGGCTGCACCATCTCCAACATCGTGGCCAGCTCCGCCAGCGTGATGTCTGGGGTCCTGACCATCCTGGGCCTGGGTCTGGCACCCGTGACATCAGGGATCAGTCTGTCACTCTTGGTAACGGGGGTGGGGCTGCGAACAGCATCTGCTGTGACCACTGTGTCCAGCAGCATTGTGGAGTACTCGAGCACATCGTCCGCGGAAGCCAAAGCCCGTCGCCTGGCATCAGCTGGCGATAACAGAGGGAAGACCATTGCAAAGGCTCTGTGTCAGAACACACCCCGAATGTTTTCCGTAACAAAGAGCTTCGTGCAAGTCCTGCGAAACATTGGAAAGAATGTTCGTGCCATCAGGCTGGCCAAAGCCAGTCCTCACTTAGCAGCCTGTGCCAAGAGGTTCATGACAGCTGGGAGAGTCTCAGTTCGAAGTGACAAGCGGGTGCAGAAAGTTTTTGGAGGCACTCTTCTGGCAATGATCAGAGGAGCCCGGATCATGGACGTGGGCACCGTGGGCACCTCCCTTCTGGTGGATGTGGCCAACCTTGTGGAAGAATCAAAGCACCTGCATCAGGGGGCAAAGGCAGAGTCGGCTGAAAGGCTGAGACAGCAGGCCCAGTTGCTAGAGAGCAACTTGAAGGAGCTCAACCGGATGTATGAAAGTCTAAAGTAGGGCCCGGCCCCGTGACCTCCAAACAGGGCAGGGAGCAGGGTCATGTGCGGGACAAAGGCATGGAGGTACCTCATGAGAGGGGAAGAGGGGGCCAAATAAAATTTTTGAGGGGCGCTTGGGTGGCTCAGTCAGTTACGCATCTGACTCTTGGTTTCAGCCCAGGTCACCATCTCACAGTCCGCGGGTTCGATCCCTGACAGTGCGTTGGGGCTCCTCAATGACAGTGGAGGCTGCTTGGGATTCTCTCTCTCTCCCTCTCTCTCTCTGCCCCTGCCCTGCTCACTCTCTCTCTCTCTCTCTCAAAATAAATAAATAAACTTAAAAAAGAATTAAAAAATTTTTGGAATGTGGTGTAAAGGAGTTTGACATTTCTGTAGCTGCACACGGCGGGGGGGAGGGATTAATGCCAATGACAGGGGCGTCAAAGAGAAGGAAGGCAGGCGGAAGCTGGAAGAAGGAGGGAGGGGGCTAGAGAGTGAGGGGGATGGACCAAAGAGGACACGGAGGACATGGCTCTAGAGAGATGTGGAGGAAAAAGCCGTGGGAAGGCCAGGAATACTACAGTTAGAATTGTTGGCATATGGAGAAGTGCCTCTCTGTTGACCCTCCCCATGGTTTGAGGGACATGCCAGCGAGGACGGACTCCCCCCTTGCTGAGGGGACTCCAGCCCTACCTTTCCTGTCTCGACCCACCTTCATCTTCCAACAGGCTCGCCTTAGGTAGACGGCGACTTCCTCGTGACGGTTGGTGGCCGCGACAAGGATGCTGGCCGCAGTGCTGGCGGTGGGGACGATGGCAGTGGGGTGGGGGAAACGTTTGGCAAGTTGCTGCTGCTCTTAGGGACCAGGGCACACCGAGACACCGATGAAGTTCCAAAGGCTGAGTTGGAATAGTGGTTGATTTGGGGAAAAAACAAAAAACAAAAAAGGGAAGAAAAGCGGAAGACGCCAGCAACAGGTCGAGGAATCTTGCCACATGTCGAGGAGATCAAGCAGCTTGGGGCCAAGAGACATCGCCTCTCTGAGCCTCAGTTTCCTCATCGTCTGGGGGGTGGGGGACAGTACTAGGCAAGATGGTATTTCAAAAAAATTTTTTTTTAGTTTACAGAGAGAGAGACAGAGTGCGAGCGGGGGAGGGGCAGAGATTGAGGGAGACACAGAATCCAAAGCAGGTTCCAGGCTCTGAGCTGTCACCACAGAGCCTGACACAGGGCTTGAACTCACAAACCACGAGATCATGACCTGAGCTGAAGTCAGATGCTTAACCGACTGAGCCACCCAGGCGCCCAGCAAGATGGAATTTCAGATTCATGTGGCTCTCCCAGTCTTGTGTTCTATAAGCTACTTCAATAAATGTGGACTGATACAGCAGGCCTCTGTTGTGTTCATCGAGGGGCTTGCCTGGGCTCTGGACTTCCCTTCCCCATGGGCTTGTCTTCTGGGCTCTCAGAGAGCAAGTCCTCCATTGCTTTTTCCTCAGACCTCAGCACGCTGCAGGCCCCACTGGGACACCCAGGGGGAGCTTGTCCACATCGGGCTTTGGACTGAGCACAGGCGTTTTCCTCAGCTGGTGTCCAGAACCTGGGATTGAGTGGTAGATGACGGTGTTTCTCTAGTGGGTAGGAGGGCCGAGTCTTGAACCCCACAGACTTCCTCCTCCTTCCCTCCCTCATGGAATGTCAAGCATGTCAAGGCCTTCCCTTCCCCACCAAGGAATCATGGCGATTCTCTCTCTCTTCTTTCTTTCCCAGACCCCACCTGACATCCCTTCTTCCCAGAACTGCCTTGTTCCAGTTCTCTCCCAGCAGAGTGGAAGGGAGGAAACTCCGGCCATCCTTGTCATGTGGCTGGTCGGATAAATGGCGGTCCTATGGGTTCACCAGACCAGCCATCAGATTCTAGGGGAAGGTGCAAAACACTTCGCTGAGCATTCAGGTCTAGCTGTCACCCGGGACTCATTACCAGTGATTTTCTGCACGGGTGTTAAAGAGAAGGATTCGCCGGGTATTTCCCCAACGTTAAGTAACCTAGCCCTTGATGTCTTTCCATGTGCCTCTTGTGCCTTGTCCAATTATTTAAGGCTCTACTCAAAACAAGTAGTATTGCTATTTCAGGCTTCCTAATCTTTGGCGAGTGGAATAATTCTTGGCTCCGCGGCCTGTTATTTTCCTCACCGCCCTTCATTCATCCCGTTACAGACCAGAACTGTAATGTGCAACCCCTCTGCTGTGTTCCCCAAGAGGTAGAGAGCCCTCAAGGCATGAGGTTTGACGCCTTCGGATGGTTAGCATTGGGTATGGCCAGGAGCAACAGATCAGCCACCACAAATTCTGTTCTTGGTATTCTTTGAAAAAAATTTTTGATGAGTTTATTTATTTTTTGGAAGAGAGAACAAGGGAGGTGCAGAGAGGGAGGGAGGGAATCCCAAGCAGGCCCACGCCGTCAGCACAGAGCCCGATGTGGGACTCGAACTCACGAACCGTGAGATCATGACCTGAGCTGAAACCAAGAGTCAGATGCTCAACCGACTGAGCTGAAACCAAGACCATGACCTGAGCTGAAACCAAGAGTCAGATGCTCAACCCAGAGGCCCCTGTTCTTTGTTTTCATTGAATGTCATCCACCAACAGGGAAGGAACTGGGTGGGGCCAGCCTCTGAGATGAAATATCATAGGACACAGGGGCTGTCCTTCCCCATCATACAGTGACCGTGGATGTGGAGAGTTCCTGGTGTCTGCCTCAGCCGCAGGACAGTGGACCCCAGGGTTGTATCAGTGAACCAACCCCGGGGGCTGGGGGCCCTGATCCTTCAGATGCTGTGACGTCTCCACTATCCTTCAAGTAGCGAAAAAATCTCAGTGGGATTGTTAAAAACCCAGCAGCTAAGAATTTGAAAGGCTCATATGTAGGCATCTGGTGGCTCAGAGGGTCAGGAGACTGGTTTAGAAGACAGAGTTTGTACTTGCCGTCAGAATGCGAATGCTGGGAGCGTCTAATCCTGGCACATCGAAAGATGATGTGTTAATTGAGCTGAACCCGAGGGGTACCCGGGGGGTACACAGCAGGCTGGACAGACACAACAGGCAGAAATCCAGCTGGCCCCTCGGAGGGCTCTTAAGCTGGGATCAGGAAAGACAGCGGTGTCGAATTGCTGCTAGATCTTGGAAGGGGCAGGGTCCAGAGAGGATGATGGGGACACTAACCCGCACGAGGGAGACGAGATAGAGAAAATAGCCAAAGGCTCTTTGCAAGGCTAGAGATGAGGGTTTGATAAGAACCACGGAGGGAAGGCTAAGCTCTGAGCAGATTTGAGTAGGGAGATCAGAATGGAGTGTTTCAGAAGTGAATTCGTGAGTTTCATGGTGACAAGGATATAGCTGGGGAAGTGAGTCTGCACCTTGAGAAGCAAAGGCAGGGGGACGCTGGGATGTCAGAGGGACAGCGGTCAGGGAGGTTGGGACACACTCAAGGGGCTGGGCGTGGGAATCATGGGCGGTGTTTGGGTCCGAGTTGGGTGTTAGGCTGGTGGCAGATGAACTCACCGACAGAATCGCCCGGCTCCGGGAAGTGAGGGGCCAGATTTGTTCCCATGACAGAAACCACTGGTAGATCTAGAACTTCTTGGCTTCCTGTCTCCAGTGTGGTGGGCCCTGCGTGGTGGACGCCAGAGGCATGCGAACAATGGGAAACCGGGGCCTACACCCTGAAGAACAAGGAAGGAGGGCGCTCTGACCCAGAAAACAGAGCCAACACTACCCAGGCTTGAGAAGGAGCTGGACCATCTTAAGAAACCAGATAAGGTCATCCCTGGGCCTGTATGAAATGAGACCAGGGGCCAAAGAGGAGCCACGGAGGGTGTCCAAGGCTTGTCTCACCTCCACATGGAGGAGAGGTTACTGGAAGCAATGTTACCACAGCAGTCGCATGGGTCACCCAACGCCTGGAAACTCAAAGGCCCAAAGACGTGTGACTTGGGGAAAGGGCCACCGATGGGGTGTGTTGGCCTCCTGACTAGAGTCCTACCCTCTCCCCCTTTGCTACACCTTGAATTTGAATTCCACAGCCTACTGGTCTCTTCTGAGTTATCTTCGTATTCATCCAGTCTGCCGGATCCTTAGCTCACGTGAATGTTGGAAAGGTGTCCCAATGGGGCCTGCACCCCTCCCATGGCCACATCTGTCCCCAGGGTTACAGAGCTGTCTAGCCAATGACAGAAAGAATGAGGAGAGGGGACCTGGGTGGCGGTTGAGTGTCTGACTCTTGATTTCGGCTCAGGTCATTGATCCCAGGGTCGTGGGATTGAGCCTCACATTGGGCTCTGTGCTGAGTGTGGAACCTGCTTAAGATCCTCTCTCTCTCTCCCTCTGCCCTTCTCCCCCAATTGCACATGTGCTCTCTCTCTCTCAAATTTAATAAAAGAAAAGGGAAGGAAAGAAAGAAAAGGAAAGGAATGAGAAAAGGAAAGGAAAGGAAAGGAAAGGAAAGGAAAGGAAAGGAAAAGAAAAGAAAAGAAAAGAAAAGAAAAGAAAAGAAAAGAAAAGAAAAGAAAAAAGAAAAGAACGAAGAGAAAGCATTGTCCCCAGTAGAACCTAAGGAGTGACCTTTGGTGTCAACGTTGGCAGGACTTTTTTGTTTGTTTGTTTTAATGTTTATTTATTTTTGAGAGAGAGAGAGAGAGAGAGAGAGAGAGAGAGAGGCAGTGAGCAGGGGAGGGGCAGAGAGAGAGAGAGAATCTGAAGCAGGCTCCAAGTTGTCAGTGCAGAGCCTAACGTGGGGCTCAATCCCACAAATCGTGAAGTCATGACCCTGAGCCGAAGCTGGATGCTCAACCGATTGAGCCACCCAGGTGCCCCTGGCAGGACGTTTTTATGTAGCTGAAGAAGTGGACCTGAAAGGCCAGTCCCCTGCCATTCATTCATTCATTCCTTCATTCCATCAGTCATTTGTTGAACACTCATTGATACCCTCCCCTTCTGTGCGCCTGGCACTTGCAACGTTCT